GATCACATGAGTTTTTTTTTAAACTATGTTAGGGTCATCTTATATTGACCATTTAACATGACCCCACCTATGGAATAATATAGTTTTGCAGAATTTTGATTTACCAACTTCCTTTTACCTTTTCAAGCTCAATCTAAAAAAATGTATTATTTCACTTGATAATATACTCAGATACTTCTAATATTTTGAAAATTGCTATACAACTTGAATTCAGTACTTTCTTTATTTTAATTTTTACTTTATTTTTTAGTATCTTATACTGGTATTTATTTTCCTTGTTTGTGCTTTATAAGGTTCTGATGACAAGATCTTGTGATCTTCTTTCAGATCCTAGCTTATGTTTCATTGTAAGCAGTTTATGTATGTGCGCATCTACGCATTTGTATGTGTATATATGCTTATATTTATATATGTATGTCCGTGTTTTTTCTTATCTTAATTTAGTTGATAAATGTTGTAACACGAATTTAATTGTAACACGATATATATGGCATATATATGGCATTGTACTTTGACATTTTAATGTAAGCAAAATTTAAAAAAAAAAAAAAAAAAAAAATTTTATTTTTACAAAACTTAGCGCCTCTGCCATAATAGATCATTTTGTAAGTATGCTATAACATTTTTTTCCAATTTCAAGCCTTAATATATTAATAGGCCTTAGGTATCACATAACTTTCTTTGCATTTTTAGACTCAATACCTTTGATAATTTCAAATCCTAAAAGAAAAATTGTGTGCAACACTTCGCCGCTAGAATTAACTCCGATCAAAAATTGACAAAACTCATTGATTTTGTACTTTTGAACTAGGATAATTAGCCGACCGCACAGTGTCACGCAACTTTTTTATATTTTTTGGAGAGAGCTTTTGGGTTACGTCTGATATTAACTACAAAAGCAATGTGCAACTTTTTGGCCTTGCCAATAAAATGGGTTCAAAGGTGGCAAAAACTAAATTTCTAAAAATTTTTTAAAAAATCTCAAAAATTTAAGCCCAGATTCCGAGTGAACGAAACATTTTTGAAATTTTTTTTTTTCCCCAACAGGTTTTCTTTATATTCTGATCAATATATAAAAAATTCAAGCAATTTGGAGGAGGTCACTTCCATTGACTGCCTGATTCTTACAAAAAATGACTCTTAAAACCATACAGTGCTGCAATTATTTTTCTTAAATTTTTTTTTTATACTATTATAATCACATTTAGTTTATGAACAATAACAATAAAAACAAACAATAGAAAAATATATTTTGATGTTCAAAGTTTGTTGATAGAAAAATAAAATACGCACTACTATTTTACTGCACACGACTGTAGATGATCATATGGAACAGTTTTTAAAATAACAATTTTTGAAAACAATATTCTGAGGAGTAAAAGGACTCTTATAGAGTCTCTTTCACTCTTTAAAATATTGTTTTCATATGTGAAAAGATTGTGATAATATTTATATCACCCATATCTTTTTTGAGCTCCTATCTGTTATATGTATTTGTGTATACTTTCAAAGTTTATATATATATATATATATATATATATATATATATATATATATATATATATATATATATATATATATATATTATATATATTTATATATATATATTCATATATATATATATATTCATATATATATATATATATTCATATATATATATATATTCATATATATATATATATATATATATATATATATATATATATATATATATATATATATATATATATATATATATATATATATATATCCTTATAGCAGTGGTTCCCAACCTTTTCTAACCCGTTCCCCAAATTAAATATCCTAAAATCTTCATGGACCCCTTTGATTTTAAAAATTATTACAAGGTGAACATTTTAATAATGTAACTTTTATTCATAAGGATAATATTTTATTTAAGGTATTTTTGAATAGACTAGACACAAAATCAATATTTATCAATGACACAAAAATTTTCTATCTTAGTTTATGTATGATACAAGAACAGATCAGTGCGAATTCTGACACTGCTTACTAGCAATTAATATCTGAAAATTTGGTTTAGTTTTTGATAGAGCACATCTAATATCTGCATCAATATCAAGTCTATTTCTTTTTTTTTGTTTTAAGAGATAGCATTGCTGAAAACCCGGCTTCACACAAATATGATGTTGAAAAAGATATAAGGGCTTTAAGTGCAATTCATAAACACAATGGATATGAATTCCTCATTTTCAACCAGAAGTTATTTAATGGTGCTACTTTGAAGTGATCCTTAGCCGTATTATCATTCTTTAACTCTATAAACTCTTCTTGTGCTTCCTCTTTCACATTTTTCACATCACAAGAAAATGGTGATATAATAACTTCACTGCTCAAAAGATTCATATCTGGAAAATAGTTACCAAATTCAGTAATCAAATTATCTAGGTGACAAACTATTTCTGTCTTTATAACTTCAGGAAGCATGTTAACTCCAATTATGTTATTTAAATTTTGAAACATTGCCTTCAGTTTATCTGAATGTGTAATAACATTAGCATTTTTGCCTTGAAGTTGCAAATTTAACTTGTTAAAATGACCTACGATGTCCACAAGATAAGCAGTTGTTATTTCAAAATTATCAAATTCAAAATATTCTACCAGTCCACTTTTCATTTGACATAAAAATTCTTTCACTTCATTTCTAAGCATGAAAAATCTTTCCAAAAAATTTCCAGCAGATAGCCATCGCACAGAAGTATAAAACAATAACTTATTGTGTTCAGCATTTAGGTCAGAGCAAAATTTTGTAAAAAGGCGAGTGTTAAGAGCAGAAGATTTTATATAATTGACCAACTTGACTAATTGATTAAATACAGTTTTCAAACTACCTGGTAAAGTTTTGGTTGCCAAAGCCTGTCTATGAATAAAACAGTGTACACCAACTACATTTGGAGCAATCTCTTTCACCCTAGTCTGTAATCCAGACTTACAACCCATCATGGCAGGAGCTCCATCAGTAGTAATTCCAAACAAATATTTCCATTGTAATTGATTGTCATTGAAAAACTGTTTTAAAATTTCCATAATATTAGCTGCTTTTGTTGTTGTTTCAAGGCAAGAAGAAAACAAAAATTCTTCTTTAAATTTGTTATTGTGAATATACCTACAATATACAATTAGTTGTGCCATTGAACTTACATCTGTGGACTCATCCAACTGAATAGAAAAATATGGGGATTCTTTAATTTCATTAATAACATTTTCTTTAATGTTTGATGAAATATCCGTTAGCCTTCGTTTGACTGTAGTATTTGATAAAGATATATTATCTACCTTCTTTGCAGCTTCTTCTCCAAATAATAATCTAACGATTTCTTTTGTACATGGAAGTATAACTTCTTCAGCCAATGTGTGAGCTTTTTTGTTCTGTGCTATTATATATGAAACCTTATAGGATGCTTCTACTATGTTCTGTTGAGTTTGGTAAATAATCCCAGTTTTATCCAATTTGCATCTCTTCAGTGATTCAAATTTTCTTTTGAAAAAATCAGTATCTTTTGTTTGGAGATCAGGATGGCACTTATTCAAGTGAATAGCAAGCTTTGAAGGTTTCATAGAGTCATTTCCTAGTACTTTATAACAAATAACACACTGTGGGTAGCTAATGGTTTCTTTAAGCATGTAGGTAAATCCATATCTCATGTATTCATCTAAGTATGACCTTTTTTTACTTTTAGACATCTAAAGTATTTAAAAAATAATATAAAAAGCATCTATAGATAAGAGTAGTATAGTATCGAATTTTTATAGAAAATTACACAAATTACGTTCTTTCAAACAAATCAGTAAGGTTATCTTTACCGGTAAAGATAACCTTACTGATGGTACATGGTATACCATGAGATAAGATTTTAACATTTTAAATTTACTTATAAAAAATGATATTATATAGCATTTATTACTTCGTAGAGGTCCGCAAGTTCTCGTCGAATTAGTTAACGCAAATTTTGTGTAACAGCTTTCTCACATAAATTACATTTTTAATTTAAAATTTAATTTGTTTCTTTCAACAGAAAAAAATAATTAAAATTAAGTTTCACTACCAAAAAATATTTAGAATTTACGTTTATCTTGTGGTCCGCTTAAAAAGTTCTTATGGACCCCCAGGGGTCCATGGACCACCGGTTGGGAACCACTGCCTTATAGTGTAGTCGAAAGAGCGTTTTAAAGTAAAAAAAGTCTCTTTCGACTACAATTTTAATTACCTCGTCTCTTAAGCTGTATTTGATTGTTGTCGAAATTTGATTGTTGGTTTGGGCAGGCAGTCTATCATTTAAAAAAAAAAAAAAAATTTAAGTTTTTAAACTTTTTCTGGTCTGGTTTATTAACGCGCTCTTTAAAACTACAGTTTATGGGAAACTCTTTTTAACTACCATGCAAGAGTATATATATATATATATATATATATATATATATATATATATATATATATATATATATATATATATATATATATATATATATATATATATATATATATATATATATATATATATATATATATATATATATATATATATATATATATATATATATATATATATATACAAAATAATGTACAAAAAAAAAAAATTTTTTAAAGTATTTTACTTAATTAAACATAAATAAATGAATCACAAAAATATGTTAGTGTTTCATTTTTAAAATGTTTTAATAATGAGAACCTTTGGCTGGTGATTCTTTGCTAGTTTCATAATGTCTGCTTCAAAATGAGATAGAAGTAGTCTTAGATCTCTTTTTGTACATAATTAAGTTTGTTTCATTGTAAATATGACTGTACTAAATCCAGTATCGATAAGGTAAGATGATGGAAAGGCTAAAATGAATAGCTTTACTTTTTGTCAAAAACTATCAGTATTTTTCAGCAACTTAAATCCAAAAACTAATCAACCCCATCCTCTAGAAAATCATTTCAAACTCTTCATTATTCTGTATTTCAATCAAATTTTCTTGCAATTCTATCTCTTGCTCTTCTGCTAAACAAAGAAATGGAATTCTGAAACCAATTCTACCAAATCTTTAAATCTGCATTCAAAGCCTTTTTTGAGTGTGTCTAAATGAATGCAATAAATGTGTAATTCACTGTCACTAAAATGTTGTGCCATTGCTCTGGACTCCATATTTAGAAAATGATTGTATTCGCCTCGCCCTATGTTTTGTTTGATTACTACTAGCTTTTTCATAAATATCAACACTGCTGACTTTGCTTCAATTAAGTTGAAATTTGGATCTCGTAGCTTCAGATTTAATTTTTTTTCTTAAACATATTTGAAAAATATAAAACATCACATCTGATAAAACCAATATCATTTGTCAAATCATTTTCACATACAGAAAGTATAAACGGAACAATTGTATCATACAGACTGAAAAATATTTTAAGACATGACCCTTTTGACAGCCATTGAAACTCTGTATGCAAAAGCAGTCTTTCAAATTGTTCATCGTTTTCATTACATAACTGTCTGAACAACCTTGTATTCAGTGTACGAGCTTTTATCTTGTTTACCACACGTATAACCAAACTAGGACTGTCTGATAATCTTCCACTGAGATTTTTAGCACAAAGATGCTGCCTATGACAAACACAGTGTATTGCAAATAGATTCGGTATTTCTTCTTTAATACAACTCACAAGTCCTTTGTGACAACCTATCATATTTGGAGCTCTATCTGTGTTACAGGAAATCATATTTGCAATCGGTATGTCTTTTATATTCAAATAGTCTTATTCAAATAGATTTAAAAAATATAATTTCGTTTTATCCATATATATATAAACAAAATGTTTGCAGTCGATGACAAAACAACATTTCTTCTCAGATTTTTTTATCCTTTACAAACCAAACATAAGCTAGCAACAGTGCCTGATCATCACAGTGGATTCATCAAGCTGAATACTAGATACAGTATTACTGAATACTAGATACAGTATTACAGAATACTGAATACTGAATACAAGAAACTCCGTTTCTTGAAGTTTAAGGCACACTTGAGACTCAATATCATCACTCATTTCATTAATGGAGTAATTACGCTTTTCAATAATGTTTTTCATTTTCTGGAATACAGCAATTGTCCAATGGATTTTATCTGGATGTTTTTTGGCAAGTGTTCTTTTAATCTTGAAGGTTTCATAGCCTCATTTGACAGCACAACGTTTCACGCAATACAAAACGACCTGTTAAATGTACAAAGTATTTTTGGTTAGATATATAACTTTAAAAACCTTTAAAAATTTTATTTTTTATTCCGTAGTATTTGAGTTTATAAATTAAAATATGATGATTGACCGTATCAAAAGCTTTTGATAAGTCAATAAAAATCCGTAGTGTATAATGTGATTCTTCGGAAGATTTTGAGATTTCACAAAAAAATTGGATAATTGCATGTTCAGTTGAGCTATTTTTTTGAAACCAAAATGATTGATGTAAAGTATTTAATAAAGTAAAATTAATATCGTTCAAACTATCGAATTTTTCCTAAGATTGTCTTGAGCACTATTATAAACATTAGGATTGTCTTGAGCACAATTATAAACATTAGGATTGTCTTGAGCACTATTATAAACATTAGGATTGTCTTGAGCACTAATATAAACACTAGGATTGTCTTGAGCACTATTATAAACATTAGGATTGTCTTGAGCACTAATATAAACATTAGACAAACAACATGTTTTTAAGACTCAAATTTCTTTAAAAAACTTGGTTATGAAATTATAAAACGAACAACAAAAATCCTTTTTTTTTTTTTTTTTTTTGTTCTTATTAGAATATACTATGGTATAAATATCGTTGTACATTAAATATCAGAACACGGAGACTCAAAGAGGATCGTAAGATCCTGTCACTGAGAACCGTTTAACAATGCAGTAAAAATATAAATAATTACAACAAATGGCGTTTAGAAATAAAATTTAAATCTAACCAGATATTTCAAAGCATAAAATAACGTTTAACAACATAAAGAATATATATAAAACTAAATATTTCAAAATAAAACAATATATTCAGGAGTCGCACACTTTTTTAAAAAGTATAAACTCAAAAGAACTCAAAGATATTATCAATTGACAAGATAACTTTTTTCAGCCTAATTTTAAAAGTAAGAAAACTACAGTTTTAAGAAAAATTAAAATTTTTCAAAACTATTTTTTACCACAGAAGAGCTCCGCGATATGTTAAAAGAGATCTTCCAAAACTTGTATGAGAATAATGTTGATGAATAAGATTGTCATTTCTTAAGTCATATTTGTTTTTTTGTTTTATTGCATATAATTTTTGAAACGATATAGGGGTTAGGTTTATCTTACATTTGTACATAAACATTAAAAAGAACATTAAAAACATTTTGCTAATATATATTAAGAACATTCATTTTTAATAAAAAAGGTTTGGCATGAGTATAACGATCTTTAAAGTTTATTAGACGTGCTATATGCTTCTGTTGCCGATATAGAGGATCTAATTGAATTTTTTTAGCACTACCTCATGCGATATTTGCATAATTTATATGGCATTGAATTAGCGAGTGATCTTCCAAAACTTGTATGAGAATAATGTTGATGAATAAGATTTGGCATTGAATTAGCGAGTGATCTTCCAAAACTTGTATGAGAATAATGTTGATGAAGTTGAATTTATGAATGTCTATTTAAAAAATTTCTCGCTTTATACATTACTCCTATATTTTTTGAAACTTTATTGCGCAAAGTTTCGATATGGTGTTTCCGTGTTAGATTTTCATCAATGAAAATACCAAGAAAATGTATAACTTTTTATTTTTTTTATTTGAGCATTGTCAATATATATTTTAGGCATATCATTTGGTTATTTTTGGGATTTTGAATGAAATAAGGTCCATTTAGTTTTTTCCAAGTTAATTGATAGTTTATTTGACTTTTTTACCTTTTTAACCAAGTTAATTGATAGTTTATTTGACTTAACCAGTTTGAAATTTTAATTAGTTCTATGTTGATTTCATTAAATAGTGTAATGATATTTTTACCGGATAGAAAAAAGTTTGTATCATCAGGAAACATTACTGTCTTCAAATTTGAGGCATTGTGCAGATCATTAACATAAATGAGAAAAAGAAGTGGCCCTAGCATAGACCCTTGGGGAACACCACATGTTATATCTAGTAAACTTGTTGAGGAGGATACGTCAATTTGCACAAACTGTTTACGATTGCTTAGAAAGCTTTTTAGCAAATTTAATAAATTTCCGCTGATTCCATAGTTTTTAAGTTTTTGTATAAGAATCTCATGATCTATCGTAAATTGTGTAAATAGCTCCAAGAGTAAATTGTGGAAATCCGTTGCTATGGGGATAGCTAGGGAAGACTGAAAAACTATGGTGCACTAAAACATAGTTATTCAAAAAACTGAATTAAATTATAAGAAACGGTTTTCATATTACTAATCTCTGTTAATTTTACAACGACATTAAAATCGACTGATAAAAAATATTTGGAAAATTCTCTCAAAAACTCTCTTAAAAAACTTTTTATAGTTTTACTTGTTTGAACCTTATCTTTTACTTGTCTGTTTAGTTATAGATTTGTTACAATCTTAAAGAATGTTTTTAAGTCAAGGAACTATATTTCTCCAGATTAAAAATAAATAGCTATATTTTAAATATAGCAATATAATATACTACTTTATAAATCCGGCAAAAATACAGCCAATTCAAATCTAGACATTTGTTAATTCAATTCTAATGTAGAAATTTATAAATAGCATTTCAAAAAACACAGCCCAAAAATACAACTATAAACCAACTCGAAACCAGTACTCTTCCGTGCTTAATACATGGGGGAGGGGGATAAAAGGGGTAGAATTTTTATTACAGATCTACTAAACAAGGAGGGAAGGGGGAGAGGATCTTAATAAATGGGTGGGTGGGAATTTTCATTTAAATCTAATTTAAATTTATCATCGGCCTATAATCATAACCTTATAAACCCAATCTGCGCGCATAGAACGTCTGGACGTCTTAAGGACGTACTACGGACTTATGATGCCCATAAAACGTCGCGTAAACGTCTGTCTCAGCTAGAAAATTTAAATTTTTTACTGAACATGTAAAAACAATTTAATTCTGGAGTGGCTTGCGGCCAAATGCGCATTTTGTGGTCAAATGCGCACAGTGTGGCTTGCAGTCAAAGTTGACAAACTTTAAAGCCTGGTTACACTGAAAATTTTTATTTTTATATTGATTGTTTTCTGATTTTTAAGGCTGGTTTACACTGATTTTTTTTTCTATGTTTTGAGTTCTAGTTTTTTGTACTTTTTGATGAAAACAAGCAAAAGTTAATAAATTTAAGTTAAATTAAGTTCATTAATTTTAACAATCGTAAAATTCAACCATACCGAGGGACATAAAAATAACATTACTGTCCAGAATGCTGTGCCAAATGATGACATACATTCACGTTTGAAATATGTTAAGCAGGGATTACAATTCTTGATAGTATAGGAAAAGAAAAATTGGAAATATTTGAGCAATCTACAATTGATTAAGAAGGAGATCTTTCTGACCAACCACTTTTCCAGTTTGGAAGAAAACTGAGTTAGAACTTAAAAGGCTTTTTAACATAGTTAAAGGCAATGAAAATACTGCAATCTCAGGACCATCAAATGTACTGTCTCCCATAGTTGATTTCAATGAAGATACCGTAATCACAGGACCATCACAAGTACTGTCCCCCATAGTTGAAGGCAATGAAGATACTACAATTGCAGGACCATCAAATGTACTACCTCCCATAATTAAAAAGAATGAAGATACTGCAATCGCTGGACAGTCAAGTATGTAATCTTCGTTTAAAAAATATAGATTCTGTCCTCCTGTCGTTGGCAAGAAAAAGCCACAGAAGAAAAACTCAAAAGAAAGAATAAGTTCAAGTCCGATAAAACTTTAACCATCTAATTTTAACAATCTATTTAGGATTTGTATATAACTATAGTTGACTTAGGATTTGTATATAACTATAGTTAATTTAGGATTTGTATATAACTATAGTTGATTTAGGATTTGTATATAACTATAGTTGATTTAGGAGTTGTATATAATTATAGTTGATTTAGGATTTGTAACTATAGTTGATTTGATTACTAAATCATCAAAAAGCTCTGAAAGATCAAGTGTAAGGCTCCATATCAATAAGAAAATATATAAAGTTATGTTTAAAAAAAAATTATTTAAAGAAATGAATTTTAAATTTAAAAAATCCGAAAAATTCAACTGATTTTTTTTTTTTTTTTTTTTTTTTTTTTTAAGCGAAGAGTTTTGTCATATATTAAAATTTACAATGAAATAAATCGTGTTAACAAGAGAACTGGAGCAAGCAGAAGACATAAATTGTCTTATCATCAAGCCCCATCATAAAATTTACCCTAAAAAGTTGTCAGTTAATATAAAAAATGAAGAGTAGCTAACTACATAACAAGAATTTTATAACGCATATAACGCATTATATCAAAGATTAACAATAATTTAAAAATATTAACATTTTTCAACAAAAAATTAAATTAGATTAAAATTGCAACAAAAGAGAAGTAGTGTCAATAACTATTTTTTTAGATAATTTATATTATTTGTGTATTATTTTTAAAAGAGATATTTTAAATCAAAGTCTTTTTGTAATAAGAGGTTCTTAGATTCTTTTCTAAATTTTTTCAAAGAGATGTGATGAACATTATTTTTTGTGATAAATTTTGAAAAATGTTTCCATAGAAACGGTCCGCGGTATTGGATTTTGTAAGAATTTAGTTTTGAATTAGTTTTTGGAACAATAAAGTTATTAATTGAAAATTTAGTAGGATACTTGTGCGAGATTTCACTAAAGTAAGACTGAAATACATTAGGAGAGAGTTCATCTTTAGTTTTAAACATGAATTGTAGAACTTGGTGTATATTAAGTTTATAGATACTTAGGGCACCAAGCTTCCTTAAAAGAGGTTCACATTGAAAAGTTCTGTGGGCACCAAATATAATCCTGCATGCATGTTTTTGCTTACTATGAAGCTTTTTTAACTTACCATAGTTAGTA